GCCGGGTACCCATTAGGGCACAGGACTAGTGTAGCTGGGGGGCGGGAGGCATCTACTGCAGGTGAGAACAGCTGCTGCGCTAAGGAACCTCTGTCGGGGTGACACGTACAGGGTGCTGGAGTGACGAGGGAGGGGGCGACTCAGCCCCGGCTGCCCCAAACCGGTCGGTGGCAAGTGGACTATACCGAGCCCCAGCCTTCCCTGCTCGCTGCGCCCCCCCCCCACCAAGGGCCCCGGGGCAGGCTGGGAGCCTCTGCACAAATCCCTGTCGCCCCCGCCCCCTCCGGCCCTTCGCCACTGCCAGTGACCCTCTCCAAGCCAGGTCTCCATGGTGATCTCAGCCCAGCAAGCAGCTCCTGCCAGAACCATTCCCGTGGTGCCTGCGGCCAGGCAGCAGGGAGGCTTTCTCTCCCTCTGCTCAGCCCTCCCTGTCTCACCTTCCTCCTCCCTCGGCCCTCCCCACCCCTCGGGACTCGGCCAGAATCTGGGGGATGGCGGGGATGGTGGGGGGGGGGTGGCTGGGGACAGAATCAACACCAGAGGTTCCTGAGCCGGGAGAAGGGAGGATGCCCGTAGCCCCGTGCGACCCTGACCTCACTGGGTTCAACTCCACAAAACAGAATTCAGGCTGCGGTGCCAGGCAGCCCCGCGCTGGGCACTGGGGACAAAGCACTGGAGACAGATCTGGCCCCTGCCCTTGAGGGGCTCACGGAGCCCAGAGGGAAGCAAAGCAGACCCCAGAGCGGGCAATTCCAATGCAGGGAGATGGGGGCTGTGCCAAGGGATGCCCTGGGGGGGGGGGTGCTCAGGGAGCACACGGAGGGGGCACCTAACCCGGCCTTGGCAGGAGGAACTCCGGCTCTTCGACCCACTGCCGAGCACGGTGCCCAGCACACGCCGGGGCCGGGACGGCGGGCTGACCGAATGCCAGAGTGGTGACCAGCGCAGCAAGGTCCCGCTCAGGGCTTGCACCCCTCCAGGACGCCTCCTTAGACCACCTTGTTACCATAGCTACCGGGGCAGTTCTCCTTCCCTTCCCCGCTCCTCCAGGGCAGAGAGACCTGTGTGTGGTACCTTGCTACCCCCAAAGCCAACATGTGCCCCCTCAGCGCCCAGGGCACGAGCCATTGTTCCTGAGACTTAACCTTTTAGTGCCTCTATAATTGACAGCCGCAGAGCCACATTCCGCGGCACCCTGGCGCTCTAGCGGTTTCGCTGGCCGAGGTGCCCGGCTGAGGTGCCTTAGCCGGCTGAGGTGCCCGGCTGAGGTGCCAAGGCGTGAAATTGGTCTCTGCCTGCCAGAGGAGGGGCTGGTACAGGGAGCATCAAGAGATAGCGGAGCGGGCGCTCGCAGTGCTGCGGGTCACGTATAAATCAGGCTGTCCACAGAGAGCTGCTCTCCCCCCAAAAGGAGCACATGTTCGTGCATTCATTTAAGCGACCAGCAGACATGGATTCACACCCACCAACTGCCAGGCCATGAGCTACGCTCTCGCCTCCATCCTCTGGTCTCCGCCCTCCGGAAGGGCGTCTCAACGTCAAACAAGGCAGTGGAGCAGAAGGCAGAGAAGATGCGTGAGAGTTTGAGACGGATCTGCTGTGTCACCTAGGGCAAGTCCTTTCCCTCTCTGGGCTTTAGTCTCTATGTAAAGCAGGGGGTTGAACAGGTAATGGGAGAGATATTCGGGCCCCAGTGGGGTCAGAGGCAGACCACAGCTGCCCAAAGGCTGATCCACCCCCTCTTGACATTTTCAGGCAAAGTCAGGCCTGCAGGTCCCTCAAATGTGGAAAGGATACTGCTTCCCTGGGGCTCAGACCACACTTGACAGATGGGAGACACCCTCTGGTAGGATGGACTGGCTGTAGGGTGTGGGTGTGGCTCTCCTCCCCACTCCAGAGAATGTTTTCAAAACCTGTGTCCACCAGTGACCAGAGGCACTCCTTCAACTCTAGCTCACCAGCCATTCCCTCCTTAGGGAATCCTTCCCCACCTCTTCCACTGCTGGGCACACAGAGGGACGCTGGTGGGCACAATAGGGTTCATATCCACGGTCACCCGCCCAGCTTGTGTGGATCTCCCACCGTGCAGAGCTGCACACTGCTTACCAGTCCTGGGAGGCTCTACAGCCAACACCCACACTCTCTGCCTTCCTGATCAGAGATGCCTCTGTAAAGACAGGCCCCAGTGATGGCTATGTGTTGGGCATGTGACTGATCACCAAGGGCCCTTCCTGGCTCTATCATACCACCCCTGCCAGGGTGGCTGTGTGTCTCTGGGGGAGTCCCCTTCCCTGTCTGTAAACTGTGCTTTAACCTTTGGAGCTCTCCAAGGTTGCACTTGGGGAACTCCACAAAAACCTAGGTAGCCTGCAGAGTCTGAACTGGTTTATTTATACATCCCATCCCCTGCCCCATTTTCGGAGCCTATCTGAGGACAGCGACGGTGACAGAAATGGTCTCCTACCCACTCCCACTGCTTGCTTGCCCTCCTGCTCTCAATTTTCTCTAGTCTACATGCTTGTCTTCGAGTCAAGGCAAAAAACAATGTCCCAGGTATGATGCGACACCGAGGAAGACGGGGAACATGCACAGAGATGAGCAACCAGTCTAAAGGAGCTGATGATGTAGTGAGGACATTCCCAGGAAGGGTTGCATGGATGCATAAAAGGCTGGAGATTAAGTGGGCCTGGGAAGGATCCTGGAACGCTTCTTGGAGGAGGTGACGCCTGAATGAAAGATAGGAACTGACAGGTGGGAGATGGATGGTGGGCAGGAAAGGGCAGCCCAGGGCAGGGACAGCTTGGGGAAAAAAGGCACAGGGCACACTAGGGAAAGCTCCCTTCTAATTCCCCATTCTAGGGCTGGAAAGGGAGGGTGTGTGAGGAGGAGGTCAGGGCAGAAAAGGAAGACCTGAGTATCTGGAATACCAGGCTAGTGGCTGGGCTGTTATTTTGTAGGCAAGGAGACTGGAGAGGCAGGGAGCGGGGGATGCAATCGACAGATGGTAAGCAATGGAGGCACAGGAGCGAACGGGTTGAAATCGATTCATCCAATAAATATTTGGGGGGCTCCCGACACCATGCATCCGGAAATGCTGAAGAACAAGCACTTTGGTGGCCATAATGAGGGGAATGGACTGGGGTCGGGGGCAGGTGTCGGGGCAGAGACATGGCAGCCACCAGTTGACTGACCCAGGGTTACCGCTTCTGAAGCCTTAAATTTGTTCAAGACCTATTTTCTTTTTTCTTTCTTTTTCTTTTTTTTAAATCTCGGCTCTATGCCCAGCGTGGGGCTTGAACTCATGACCCTGAGATCAAGACCTGAGCTGAGATCAAGAGTTGGATGCTTAACCGACTGAGCCACCCAGGCGCCCCCCCAAGACCCATTTTCTGGCTCCAGGAAGCTCTTGCTGCCTGCCCTGCTCGTGCTTCAAGAGGGTGGTCCCCGGTACTTCCAGGGGGCCTAGTTCAGTCCCTGCCCTGGAGAATGATGCCCACTTGGAGACTTTCAAAGGACACCTGTTTATAGGCTGTAAACCCCATGGGGGGCAGGACACTGCTGGTCTCGTTCAGTGCCTGGCCCCGGGCAGGTGGCTGGTTCATGTGCGGGTGAACACAGAATTAACCTACTTCCCCTCCCCTCTAGCACAGAGGGTGTTATGGCAGCAAAAGTGATGACGACAAAGATGGCAAATCTGCCTCGAGAAAAAACCGTGATGTATTTACAAAGTCACGAGGCACCGAGAGACCCCTCTCGTGCTACAGGACCTGCAGGGGAAGGGCTTCTAGTTGTCCTGGGTCATTTAGAAGTCTGGGTCCTGTTGCCCATCAGGCTTCAGGTCCCATTGGGGGGGGGGTGTGGGCTGGTGACTTCCCTTGCCTCTGGGCCCCCCAGGGAGGAATCAGCCCAGTTGCCAGGGCCAAAAACTAGGTGGTGTTTCATAGCCTCCCACCAAAGGCCCCAAACCCACACTAGACACAAAATCCTTCCTAGGAGACAACAGGGGCAGCAGGTGAAGGGAGGCTGGCTACCTACAGAGTCCTGAGCGAGGAGGAAAGGGTCAGGGGTGTGTGTGAGTCACACAGACTGGGTGACAGAATTCAGCTGGTGGGAGGCATTTGTCCACCCATGTACCAACCACTGACTACGTGCTTACTGTGCACCAGGGACTGGGCTAAGGGCCTCATGGGTAATCTCATTAATTCTCACAAGAGGCACAGCAAGGTGATGTGACTCACCGGGTCACGTAAGTGGTAAGGGATGGAACCAGGCTCCGCACAGAAGCCGGTCTGTGCCTACAGGCATGCTCCTCGCCACCACCCTCCAGTTTCAGGGCCTCACTCCCTTGGGCTCTTCCGGGACCACAGGGATGTGGGGAGATGGGAGAGGAGGAGCAGGAGAGGGCACGTTCACAGAGAGATTATATTTCCAGGAAATGAGGGCTCAGAACAAGAAGGCCTGGCCTGAAAATGGCCGTGGGAGAGGCAAGACATAGGATGGGAGGGAGGACGGCCTCAGAGTGCAAAGAGAAGCCCACAGGAGGCAGGGCAAGGATGGCTGACCCCTGACGTGAGGGCTTCTTGCTCAGAGCCAGAGGCAAGATCAAGTGACCTCTTGAGGTTTCAAGACACAGAGAGACAAAGCCCAGAGCAGCTGGGGCCTGGCCCAGGTCCGGGCATGCCTGCTGACCCTGGCTGGCCGGTGGCCTTGGAAACTGCTTCCTGCTCCGGTCAGGCCCCAGGCTGGTGTAACCTTGGAGGACCTGTGACATTTCTCTTGGCCTCAGGTCCACGCCTGAGAGGGAGTAGGGAGGAGAGGGGGACTCAAGATTCCTGAGTGCCTTGGAGGGCCCTTCCTGATTGCACAGGGTCTAGCAGGGCTGATCTTTGGCCATGAGGGCCCAACGTGGAGTCAGTCTCCCTGGCTCCGTTTTCCACCTAAGGGACTGGAGAGGCCTGCCCCAGGCCCGAGTGCTCCCCACCCTCTACCCCTTCCCTCTGTCCCACCAGCTCAGCTCTCAGACGAAGGGGGTCCCACATTCCCCACTCTGGCTCCCCTGAGCTTTCCTCTTCCAATTCACAGTGGGGGGTGACCCTCCCCTTGCCCACAGTTCCCTCTGCCTAGAACGCCTTTCCCCTCAAGTCTCTGTCCATCCAAATCTCGCCTATTCTTCAAAGTCGAGCTCAAATGCAGCTTCTTCGAAAGAACTTCAAAATCCATTTAAAATGTCAGACCCAGAAACATTTGTAGGGAGTGTCCGACCAAGCTGTCATTTTGCGGATGGGGAGTCAGCGGTGTGGGGTGTTGGGGGAATGGTATGGCAGGGTACCCAGGTTCTGGGAGGGGAGTGTGTGCAGCATTGGGTTCGAATCCCGACTCCACCAGTGACTAACTGTGGATCCCCTGCCGAGGCTCCTAGCTGCACCTGCTTCCTCAACTCTCCGATGGGGCGGGGCGGGGGGAGAGGGCACTACTACCTCCCAGCCTTCTGTGAAGGCTCACTGGGGCAGTGTTGCATGAAGGGCAAAGACGTGTGTCCCTTTTCTCACCCAAAGTTCTGAGAGATGACCTCTGACCCTAACACCCACCTTCCTGGTACACAAACTTTGTTTCTCCCCGCCTCTGGGCACCTGCCACTTGCCACCAGCTGTTTTTAGGTTCTTCGTGTACCTGCTTTAGCTTCCCGGGGCGGATGCTGAACTCTGAGGACAAGACCACGTCTGCTTTGTCTCCTCCATGCCTGGCACCCGGACAGGCAGCCAGAGGCTCAAGATGTGGGGCGGAGCCGAACCAGCTTCTCCAGCGCCCCATGTCAAAACGCTCACTGCCTGCTGGGGCGACCGAGGTCTCCCTCCTTCAGCGCTTGCCCTGTGGTGTGTGTGTGGGGGGGGGTGGGGAACCTTCTAGCTGGTAACTCTTCAATGGCTCCCCACTGGTCTTGGAATATGGTTCCAACTCCTTCCGGTGCCCTGGCTGCCTTGCCCACCCATTCAGTGAGGAATTACTGTCCTCTTAGCGGTTCCTCAAGGGTGAGCTCCCTCCTGCTCCAGGGCTTCACCCACTGCTGTTCCCTCTGCCCAGAATGTCCTTCCCACTCCCTGTCTAGCTGATGCCCCTTCATCCTTCAGGCATCAGCTTCAGGATCCAGTCAGCCCGCTGCAGGATCCCACAACCTCCTAGCTTTTTCCTCTCTCGCAGTCCTTCCTATTGTAATCCTCACCAAATTCCTTCGTGTCAGTCTACGTACTGTCTCGCTCTCTAAACTGGAAGCCCCCTCGAGGACCAGGACCTCATCTGTGGTGTTCACTGGGGTGCCCCCCCGCCCCATGCCTGCTTCATGGTGGGTGCCGGACAGATGTCTCCAGAACAACTGAATGCATCAGTCTGCGGACAGCGCTGTCAACTCCCAGCCCGGAGTGGAGAGTGTGGCCAGAATGTGGGGCTGGATGGCATCCCAGTTCCTCCTGTGTTCAGGCCTCACTGGATGGTTCCATTATGTATCTCACTGAGCTGTGACCTGCTCAAACACCCAGCCCCCACACTCGTTTTATTTTCCCATCCAGAGCCCAGGAGGAACGGTTTTTGGATTATTTCACATTTCTGGATTATCCAGGAGACATCTCCCCTCCAGTGAGAAGGATCAAGAGTTTGACATTTTAAACCCTAAGCAGCTTCTCCCTGGCCTGCTTCAGATCTGCAGCTCTGCTGCCTGCAGTGAGACGCACGGGGAATGGGAGGCCATTTTAATCTTGGCCTGGCTTCATTAGGAGGAAAATAGGCTGCCAAAAAAAAAAAAAAAAAAAAAAAAAAAAAAAGTTTGGTCCACTGTCTATGCCATGCAGAATTGCAAAACCTACGAGATTATCACAGTCGAATTTCTTGAACAGATGGGGAAACAGAGGCCCAGGGCTGGAGGGAGTAAAAGCATGGTCAAGGACATGGAGCATGTTGATGGCCAATTGGGGAACGGTCCTTCCCCAAGCCTCCTGATCCCCACGTGCTGCCCTTTGCCACCTCCAGGCACCAAGGGACCTGGGGTCAGGCAGAAAGGGGATGATAAGTTTCCACCGGCACGACTTCAGGACCCTGAGTCACTCTGGCCTTGAATGGCCTCCCCAGGGCAGGGATGGGACTTTCCAGGAGCCCTGCTAGTCCTTCTCCAGGAAGAGGCACTCCCAGGAGGCTGCAGTGGCAGGAGAGGTGGAGGGTGAGGGGCTCAGACAGGCCCCTAGGCCACTTCCCCACCACCCACCATAACTTTGTAACACCTCTGTTGTCCTAAGAACGGGATGTGATGGGCCAGTTGTGGCTGTATTTCCTGGAGCGCCTTGTGCTTCGAGAAAATGATTCTTCTGACCTTGTCCCTTTTTACCCATTTTGGGGGCATTTTTTCCTCTTTTATTTTCCTTAAACAAAATTTTGGAAATACTAAAATTTTGACTCCACCTCATGAGGACACATGCCTGATAAAACACAGTATCTAAACATCTAGCAAAACTTAACCGAACTCTTGGAAAAGCATTTGGCTGCAGGAAAGGGAAGTATCTTTTTCTAGGCAGGAAGTATCCTGCCTGGGGACAGACCCACTGGGTGCGGGTTGTGAGGCACAGCAGGACCCCAGCCTCCCTTGTTCACTTCTGGGTCCCTATCCCACCTGCCTCTGACCACTCTGAGCCCGCCTCAGGTCAAAGACGGTGAAAAATAATCTTTGGGTGGGCACCGGGAGACCAGGGAAGACACTTCAGGCCATTTTGTAAAGCCCTTGCAGAGTGTGACCAAGACACAGTGACCACACCCTCAGCCTGGCCCCCACCAGAGTGCATCCTGAACTAAATGCAGCTCCTCGAGAAACTAGCGAGCCCGGCCGGGTCGGTACCCTGGGTGGGCCCTAGCAGTTAATTACCCACCCTGCTTCACCCTTCACTCATCTCCCACGGGGCCATGCAAATGCCCTCCCTGGCAGGAGGTCAAGTGGTGAGTGTTTGCTGGGATTCAGGCAGCGCTTGCCCAGGACCTAGCACGGACAAGGGAAATAAACATTTGATGAACCAAACCACATGGCCCTATCCAATCTAGGGTTCTCCAACCATTTCAGTAACTGAGTGTCCGAGCCTCATGCTGGGTTCCCCACCCAAGCACCCCATCTCTTCCTGAAGACTGTCCCCAACATCTAATCCCAGACACCTTCCTGAATCCCAACTTCCTCTTAACAGGGGTCCCCGATCTTGTCCTTAAATCCTTCCCGCTCATCACCGTACGCCTTCCCCTTGCCCAAGCGCTAAAGTACTCATCCCCCACCCCAGGCCCGCCGCCGCCTGCCCAGGCCTCCGCCCGCTCCACCCACACCCCCAGACTCACCCAGGAACAAAACCTCGAGGTCCAGTCGGCACTTCAGTTGGCACTACAGGGAGGTGACGGTGAATGTGTCCTCAGGGTGAGGTTCCGCCATGGGCCCCAGGAAGCCGCTCTTGGGGCCCCCACCCAGGCCGGGATGCGCCTGCGGCAGAAAGCCTGGATACCTATAGGCGGTATCCTGCAGGGGCAGCAGCGAGTCCCTCGGCACAGGGGACAGGGTCAAGTCACTAAGGAGCGGGCAGCCATAGCCAGTGGCGGCGGCGGCAGGGCCACGGGGTGGGCCAGGCGGCCGGGCCATCTCCAGTGGCTCCTTGTCGGCCTTGGGTGTGGCCGGTGGGCTGGCCAGGTGTGGGGCACTGAGGCACGCGGCCTCCGTCCTGCCCAGGAAGTCAGCCAGCAGCCCTGTACCCACCTTCCCTTCATAGGGTGGGCTGCGGGCAGCTGAGCCTGGCGGGTACCAGTAAGCTGTGCCCTTGCAGCTGGGGGAGTCGTAGTGGGGCTGGCCCAGTGGCAGGTCCCGGCAGCTGAGGTGGGCCTGGGCTGCAGCCGCATGGCCCAGGCTGGCCCCCTGGAGCCCGTGCTTGAGGGGCTCACAGGCAGCCAGCTTTGTGGGTGGCGGCCGCAGCTCTTCCTTGAAGCCCAGCGTAGGTGAGCAGGTGGGTGAGTACGCCTTCTGCAGACCGGCATCAAACACTGTGGGTGGGTGGGCCAGAGGCGGGAAATGCTTGCCATCTAGGTCAGGAGCACCCAGGCTGGGCGAGTCGCAGTGGAAGCCTTGGCCGAAGGTGCCGTCAGAAGGAGTGGACGGGTTCATGGAGTAGGGTCCCATGAAGTCACAAGGGTCTCGCTCACCCACGCCGAAGGCCCTCGACTGGGAAGGCAGTGGTGACATGCTGCTGTCCCCACTGTAGTAGTCCAGGCCGAGGTCCGGGCTGTCCTGGAACAGGGGGTTGACGGGCTGTGGCTTGGGGATGAACTTGGCTTTGGCGGCCGCCCCACCCCGCTCCTTCTTAGCTGAGCAGGCCCCACCACCCCGTCCACCCCGCGGCTGCCGGGGCCCGGTGCTCCGTTTGGACGGGTAGCCTGAGGCGGTGGCCGAGGCGGATGACGGGAAGCCCAGATGTGAGGCCTCGAACAGGTCCACCTTCTTCCGCCGTCCACGGCCCGGCTTGGAGCTGCTCTGGAAAAGGACGCTCTGGTTCCAGTTGTAGCCGGGGGCAGAGGATGCCTCGTTCCAGTCCATCATCAGTTTCTCCAGGCTGGACAGGCTTGACTGGCCCTCGCTGCTCGAGGCCTCGCTGTTGGCGCGCCGAAAGCCGCCGCCGACCGGCTGATTGAACTGGGTGCTGTCGGACGACGACTCAGAGAAGGTCTCGGACACAGCCGTCTGCTGCTTCACCTTCTGCGGCGTGTAGTTGGAGATGTCCAGGATCACGTTGGGCTCGCTGACGTGGCAGTCGAAGCCGGGATTGTAGAGCTGACTGAAGGCCTCTGAGGCCCAGTCCAGGCCTCCATAGCCCTGCCGGAAAGGCCACTGAGAAGCCCCCGCAAACTGCCGACAGTTTTCAGGCGAGGGCTGGAAGGAGGAGGAGGAGGAGGAGGCGGCAGAGGCTGTGGTGCCCTTGGGTACCATGTAGCCGCCGGGAGAGACGGTGCTGGCCCGGCTGTCACAGCGCAGGGGCGTGGGGGCTGAGCCAGAGAAGGGGGCCCCCTCAGAGCTGTTGAAGAACGAGGCCTTGCTGGGGGGCAGGCAGGGGCCCCCCGTAGGTGGTGGGGCGTAGCCGGCGCTGTGGGCGCTGCTGGGGGAGGCGGGCAGGCTGTTGCCGCTGCCGTAGGCGAAGCTGCAGTCCTTGCTGTTAGCACAGTCCTGGCCCGTGAAGGGCTTAGCTGGGGCAAAAACGCTCTGTCCGGCGCCGTAGCCACCATACTGAGGTGGGTAGGTGCTGGCGGGCGGGTGGGTGGTAGGGGAGCGGGCCACGGCCGACGGCGGGGGCGCCAGCTTCGGGAAGGTCTCGGCTGCCCGGCAGTCTGAAGTGGCTGGAGTTATCCCATAGCTCGCCGCCCGGCCTGGCGGGAAGGTCTGGCGAGCGGGCAGGACAGGCTGGAAGGAGGGCTCCGCACCAGCCCCGCTGCTGCCCACTGCTACTGGGCTGGCCTTGGCCCCCCGGCTCGGGAAGGTGGCCAGGCCCCGCTGGGCAGGCAGGGTGCTGGTGGGGGGCCCTGCGTAGGTGCCTGATGCCTTCCGGGACTCAGGGCGAGAGGCTGAGAGGGCAAAGTCTAAGAGGTCGGAGGAGTCATCCGAATCGAGCAGTGAGCGAAAATAGCCGGTGAAGAGGTTTTGGCGCTCCTGGCTGAGCTCGGTCTGGCCCGCGGGTGCGCCGGTGCTGTAGTAGCTGCTGCGGCCCGAGGCCCCGCTCTCTAGCCCGGCGGAGGCGAAGGCCTGGGCCTCGGTCCCCTGGAACCCACAGTTTCGGCCGGCTTGCCCGCCTGGGTGCCCGTGGTGAGGGGCCCAGCCGCCACCCTTGTCCCCGGCCCACTCGGCGCCGGCCTCCCCAAAGCCTGGGCCGCTAGGCACCTGCTCTGGGAACAGAGTCCCATTCTTCCGGGACCGCCTCTTGCGCTTGGGCTTCCCAGTCATGGCGTCCACCTCCCCCCGGCCCCGCTTGCGTGGGTGCCCCAACTCGGTGAGGCTGGGGCCCCCGACACCAGCAGCTGCCACTGCCACCACTTTCTTTTTCTTGCCAATGCCCTCGAAAAAGTCACTGAAGGAGCATCGGGCCGCCTTGGCGGCATGGCCCCCACCCCGGCCACCAAAACCGCCTGCTTTACCGCCACGCCGTCGGAAGCCCTGCACCCGGTGCAGGAAGTGGGAGATGCTCTGGGTGTCGGGTGCCTGGTGTACCGACTCGGGCTCGCTGGGTGTCCAGCAGCGGGGGGGTGAGCAGCGCCCAGCGCACTGGCTCTGGCGGTTCAGGAAGGCCAGCTTGGCCAGGACGTCGGAGTACTCGGCCTTACTATCATTGGCGTCTGCTGCGTACGACGGCTGGGGGGAGGCCAGCTTCTGCTTCCGCCGCCGCCGTTTCTTCACCTCCGGCATGGCCATGGTGGCCGCGGCCACGGTGGCTGCTTCTGCCGCGACCACTGCCGGCTCCTTGGGCTTGCCAGGACCCAGCAGCAGGTTCTTAGGAGGGCGGCCGCGTTTCCGCTTAAGAATAATGGGCATCTCCCCGGGTGGGAAGACCACCACCACGTTCCGCCCATTGTTCTTCATCTTCAGCAGTGGCGTGGGCTCCGCGGACACGCGCAGGCCCAGCTCCTTGCCCTCCACGCTCAGACTGCTGCTCAAGGAGGACACCTTGTACGTGGTCTTGTTCCGCCGCCCCAGCGATACGGGGATTTTGGCCATTTTCACCACCATGCGCCGCACGCCCCGGCACTTGCCTTTGCGGCTGGGGACCCCTGGAGTCTGGGAAGATTCTGGCTCCAGCTCTGGGACTGGGCCCGGGCCCGGCAGGGCAGGAGGTGGTGGAGGCGGTGGCGGCGGGGGCTCGGCCAAGGCGGCCGCCAGCCCTGTGGGCATAGGCAGCGGCAGCAAGCGGCCCTCCGGCCCAGCGTCTGCCTTGCGCCCCCGTCCAGCTTTCCGCCGGCGACACAGGATCTTTGGCCTATCAGTGCGCCGCAAGGCGTACTTGGGGTGACCCTCAGGCCCGTGGGGGCCATGGGGTGAACACAAGTCCAGGCGCAAGGGCTCGCCCAGTGGGCAGGGCCCCAGGGGCTGCTGAGGCTCCAGACGGCGGCCGGGGACGTCAAGCAACTTGGGCAGGGGGTCAAGTGCCTGAGGGTCAAGCAGCTGCGACTCCAGGGAGTCGGGCAGGGTATCCAGGGCCTGTAGCGCCAGGCCTGGCAGCCCCAGAGGATCAGCAAGAGGTTGTAGGGGTGGCAGCTCCAAAGCTTCCCCGAGCGGCTCTAGTGCCTGTGGGTCCAGGAAGCGGGGCTGGGGGTCCAGGAGCTGAGGCTCTGGCTCAGGAGATGGTGGCTCAAGGGCCTGGGCCTCCAGCAGCTGGGCCTCGGGGCAAGTAAGGGAGGCCAGCTCGCTGAGGATGTCGGCGTCAGCAAGTTCCGAGTAATCAGGGCCGTCTGGCTCAGGCTCCGGGGGCAGCCCGGTGGCCGCGGCCGTGGCTCCGGGACTATGGCCTTGGCCAGGCTGGGGACTGTCCCTAGGCTCGGGCTCAGGCTCATAGAGGGGATGGCTGGGCCTCTCCGACTTGGAGTGCGGGGCAGCCCGCTCCTCGGGGCTGCGGATGCTGTTGGCCAGGCTGGGTGAGGAGAAGAAGCTGTACTGCAGGTCACCGGGGGGCGGGGCAGGTGGGCGGCTGAGTCTGAGGCCACCGCAGTCCAGGTGCACGCCGCTGTGCTGCAGGTCCTGGGAGAGCCGTGTCAGGTCCTTCATGATGTCAATCAGCCGCACCACGGGACGCAGCTTCACCCGCCCGTTGTCCCAGCGCCGTTGGGAGCTGTTGCCGTCTCCCGCGGGGGTGGGGCAGCGGGCCTGTGAGACGGGACGGGCTGCCCTCGGGGGCAGCGGGTCGTCCCCCTTGGCAAGGACTGGTGGGCGCCGGGTGCTGGGGTCCCGGCGTGGGGGTGGGCGTGGGTTCTCAGAGAAGGTGTGGGCGAAGGCCTTGTCAGGTGGGCTGGCGGGGGGCCGGGTGGGAAGCAAGGGCCGTGGGGTGGGGGGGCCGCCGGGGTAGTACTTGGGCTCCCGGAGGTAGTCAGGAGAGCTGCACACGGCACTGGAAGTCACCACCAGGCCCTGGGGCTTCACACGCATCCTGACCTTGTCCTCCGCGGGCCGCCGGGCGGGGCCGGGGCTGACATGAGGGTGCGAGAAGCCGGGACCAGGACCTGTGGGGCAGGACGGGCGTGAGGGCCCTCACCGAATGCCCAAGACCTCAGCTTCCCACATCCTCCTCGGCGAGCCCCCGTCACCCCTCCCGAGAGTCCCCTCAAGCTCCGTCCCCCCTCCACGCCCCACCTCGTTGACTCCCAGCCTTTTCCCGAACCACCGCCTGCACGAGGAACCCCTCAGGGGCCCTGGTTCCACTTGGCAGCAGCTCACCCACTTCTAGACCCTGGCTCCAGGCTCAGGGAGAAGAGGATGCCTGCCTTGGCGAGGGAAGGCCATCAGCAGCAGGCTGGAGCGACCACTCCAGATCACACTTAAGGAGAGGGCCAGGAAATCCTATCCAGGGTATAACCTTTGCCCTATTGTACGCGGGGCCCCCCCCCAGCCCCCGCCCCGGCCCCAGCCCCCGCCCCCGCCCCGGCCCATTTCAGGAGAAGCCTGGCCACTCACCCTCGGCTCTGCCGCCTGGGCTGTCACACTGGAGATCTCTGTGGGCAACAAGACAGGCAACAGGGGATCTGAATTGTCAGGTGGCCACAGTCCAACCACTCACTGCCCACTGGCCCGGTCTCCTCCACACACCACCCCCAGCTCCAGTGCGCACACCCGGCTGACCTGGGAGAGAGAGGGCCCCCGTGCCTGGGGGCTCTGCCAGGTGCTGGCTGTCAGCTGGGGGTGCTGTGGAGCAACTTCGGCCTGAGCCCAGGCCTCGGGGTGTGGACAGCGCCTGGAAAGGACCATCGCAGCTCAGGTTTAGTGAGCACCTACTGCGCGCCAGGCACTGGGCTGGAAGCTGTCCAGGCATCGTTTCATTTAATTCTTCATACAAATCCTGTGAGGTAGGGGCTATTAATAACCCCGTCTTGCGGATGAAGAAATGGAGGCTTAGAGATGAAGTAACATCATTCGTTCATATACTCATTACTTATGGAGTGCCTACTGTGCACAAAGACCGGGTAGACAAACAGTGATCAGATAATCATAAATGATTTAATTATTAGTGGGATAAGAGCTGTAAAGAAAAAGTGAAGAGTGCTTCAGGTCAGAGGTGTGACAATCATACCAGGGAGTCAACAACAATAAAAGCTCACACACTTTGGGGACGCTTTCTCTACTGCCAAACAATGGGCTAATAAGTACTTTGTGTGGATTATCTCATCTAAGCCCCCTGCAAACCTGAGATCAGTATGATTACCATCCCCACCTTTACAGAGGAGGAAACCAGCCACTGGAAGGTGGTGAGCACCACGAATTTCTGTCCGTCTGTGTATATCTTCTGTGTATATCTCCCAACACCCTGATCAGCACGTGGCCCACAAGCGTGCTTCAAGGAATACTTACTATTTCTTATGAATGAATGAACAAGGTGCACAGAGCAATCAGCCCTGCCTTTTCCCATGTGGTTCTCTCTCATTCGTCTCCAGACCCAAAGGTGGGGACCCAAGAAGGGTGTGGAGAGAGGGCGCGAGACAAGCATGTGGAAAGGGATGTTCCCTGACCCCTCTCCACATTCACCAGCGAGGCCCTTCTCTGACCCCATCTACCCCCATCGCACCTCTGGCCACAGTCTGGCCCCTGCTGCGCACTCTCAGAGCCTTCTCTACTTCCCCTTCACAGCAGCTGTCACGATTGCAACCAACTACTTGTATGACTAGCTTTTCGGTGAGTCTCCTCCGCAAGTGTGGGCCCTTCGTGGGCAGGCACTGTGTCTGTCTTGTTTCCCGCTGTATCCCCTGACCCCAGGGCCTAGGCTTTGGATGCTACATAAATATTTACTAACTCCCTGAGCTGGTCAGGGCAGAGCTGGGATTTAAATCCAGGGCATGTGTGACTCCCAAGGGACTCAGGGCCCAGACCACGGGGAGGGTCTTAAAGATTGACCCCGATCACTCCTTAGTGTTTGGCTCTGACCTGATCCCCAGGGTCAACCCCCCACCCCCAACACATGTAGACTCCCACCAGCTGTCGTACCGCCCAGGGCTGTCACCCCACAGGAAGACCACAGAGCCGACTCGGGGACAGGATGGTGTGGGAAGGAACACTCTCCCACTCCCCCGTGGTGGGCAGCGATTTCCAACCTCCAAAGCATTTCCACACATATGACCCACTGAATCTTCCCAGCAACCCGGGAGACAGGGCTGATCATCCCTGTGCTACAGAAGAAACAGGCTCAGAGTGGTGGTTGTGGAACTTGCCTGAAGTCACCTAGCTGCAAAGTGGCAGGACTCCTAATTCTGCTCTAAGCCCAAAGCCCGCTTCCCTTCCCAGCTCCTGCAGCTTTCCTTCAGCCACTCCTGAAAGCGCTGCTCCTAGAGCTGAGGTCTAATTTAAGGCTGGGAGGAACCTTAAAATCGCCAAGCCATTTGGCTTCCAAACCCTGGGCCTGGGGGAGCTGTGTAACATTCCAGATACCCAGGCCCTCGTCCAGGGGAGACTGACTCACAGATCTGAAGGGACATCTGGGAATCTGTATTTTTAATCCGCTTCCCCATGGGTACCCTGTTCTGGTGCCACCTTGTGCTCTTCCCATTTTACAGATGTGGAAACTGAGGTAAAAAGAGGGAAAGGGCCTTTGCCCCAGGTCACGAAACGGCATGGGAGACAGAGCCCTTCTGTTGCTTATCCAGACAGAACAACCATCTGTCTACTGTCCCTTTTTGCTCGGCGGTTCTCAGGCCTCGGCTGCTCCTCACTGTCCTGCCCACTCCATCACGCAGGGTCCTGCTCTCTCCCAGGCCAGGCTCTCTCGCCCGTTGCTCTTGCAAGAAGGACTGTGGGTAACAACCTCACAAAGGAGGGAAGGGATGCAGACCCTGGCATCTCCAAGTCCCATTTCCAACAGCATGGTTGACCCCTGGCTCCTGAGAGTCTTTCAGATGCCTCCCTTCCTGAGGGTGGGGCTCACCAAGCCTCCGTGTTCTGGAGACCTCCCACTTGGGGCCCGAGGGTGTGATCTTGGCAGAAGAGAAAACCTCCTCTCCGGTGGTTGCTTCTGTTCCACCCACCCGTGAAGACCTTTGGGCATGTCCTCCTGCCAGACCTCCTGACTCTGTCCACGGCTCTCTCTTGCGGCCTCCAGGATCTGAGGGAAGCAGCCGGCTGCCCTCCCCACCACACCCAGGCGGCCATTTTCTTGGACCCCTCCCAAGGGCACCACCTATCCCATGTCTGTGAACAAAGTCAAAGGGGTCCTTCTGTCTGACAGTCTGCTTCTGGGTCAGTGTGTCTGAGCCTGCCCATGGGGACACCAACCGGCTGGGAGGGGGCTGGGGGCCCCAACCTGCTGTGCACAGTGCCGGGAAGCGCCAGCCCACATCCTTGAGTCCCCAGCCCCACCCTCCCCCGCTGCGGCTGTGACCACCCCACCCCTTCCCCAGCCCGCCTCCCCCTCCCCCACCCCCAGCCTCCCCAGGGGAGCCAGGCTGCCAGCCCCAGCTCTCACTTCCGGCCTCATGACCCTCTCTCCAGCCTGCACACTCCTCCCCCCACACCATTTCCCTCCCAGCCCAGATTGAAGGCCCAGGGATGTCCTCAAAGGGAAAACAGTGTATCAGGGGGGCTATTACTACTGCTGTGAACCCTTCCCTATCACCTCCCTTTGGGGCCTTAACCCCCCAGGACCTGCAGCACCCCTCTCAATCTCCTTCAGCCCTGCCCCACCCACCCGCTAGTGCCCAAAGATCTTCTTCCAACCGGACTCCAGCCCAAAATCCTACCAAAAAGGACAACGATGAAAATGAAAATAATAACAGCAGCTGTCACTTATTTGGCATTTAAATAGAAGCCCAGAGAGGTTAAGTGATGCACTTGAGGACAAACAGCCAGGACACCGAAGAGCTGGAGTCTGAATTTAGGTTTGTTGAGCTCCTCCCGTGCAAACTTCTTCACTGTCCAGAGAGTCAGCTCCCTCCCCTGCAGCCTCCTCCAACAGTCCCAATCCTCATCACCAGTTCTAATTTTTGACTTCTAATCTACCCCCTCCCAGCTTCTTCATCCCCTCCCACCTCAGCCATCCAAATGCACTACCCTCCCTCGCCACTAGGTGTCCCCTTAGAGCCACCGATGCCCCCAAGGGGAAGCAAGTCCCGCCTGGCCTCCAGGAGTCATCAGCACCCCCCCAACCGTATAGCACACCCCACCCCACCCTACCCCCAGCCACACAGAGCTCCTTTGTGCAGCCCTCGCCCACCCCCTTCCTGCCCAGAGCGGGGCACCTGGCAAGCAGGTCTCCCCTAGACCCGGCCCCTGCCAGCCCCCTGCCCTGGGTGCCAGGTGTTGCGGGCACCATGGCCAGCTCTGGCTGAGCCTGAGGGTCACCCTGCCTGGCGGCCCTCCCTTCCTCTGTCCGAGGTCACCCAGGGACTGTGCTCCCCGCCCTGCTCCACCCCCATCCCCTCCTGCCCTTGGCCCTTCCAGACTCCTGTCCCGGTCTTTCCTTCTGTCTCCCGGAGGCCTCCCCTCCTCCAGCCCCACCAGGCCCTCCCCACAGCCTCTCGCCCCCGCCCACCTCCTTCCCCTGAGAGCTCCTCGTTCCCCCCCCCTCCCCGCCCAGGTCTGAAGAACTCCTCCTCCTGGAAAGTTGCTGCTGGAAAGGAAGTGACTTCAGCAATTTGGCCACAAGGCTGGGCACTGCTGAGCCCTGCTCAGCTGAAGGCCTGCCCAGCCCACCTCCGAAGCACAAACGGAGCCACATGCACACACCACCCGCAAGCGTGCACCCAGAACCCTGAACGCCAGCTTCCCTGGTGACATGCGGAGAGATCCTGTGTGCACATTCCACACCTAGTGTGCCCACACATCAGCCCGGTGTGTTCAGATTCCTGGTTACACATCTCTCCATTGTGCCCTAGCGCCCTGCACACATGCACCATCCGGTGTGGCCCCCATCACGCTCCAGTATTCCCACACCTACCCAGGACACACCCTGAATCCTGCACACTCACCACTCCCCTGTGGTACCTACACAGCCCTCAAAGGTCCCCCAGCCCAGTGCACTTATGTAACTCCTGCATACAGAACCCTGCGTCCCTAAAGACAGAGCCCTACACACACCGGTTTGCACACAAGCCTGAGGGCTTGCACACACGATGCCCTGTGCATTTACAGTTGGGCACACAGAGCCCTGCATCCTCCTGTAGCCACACCTCCCACCCTTACCATCTCAGGAGGCCCCACCCCTAGACCTCAGGCCCCAGGAATGCTCTTTTGGAAGCTGGGTGGAGTCCCCAGGCAGGCTGGGCTCTAGGGAGCTTCCTGGAGCCCGCAGGCTCCGTGTGTCAGTTCAGGGAGTTGCCTCTGCAGGGCAGGGCAGCCCCACCTGGCCTCCGTGGCTCTAGAGCCTGGGTGGGCTAATCGGGGCCAGGAGTAGGGAGGCAGCTCCTGCCCCCACCCCACCTCATCTGATGAGGGTGACCTGGCCTACCTGAACTACCCAGGTCCTCTCGGCACCTCACCCTGGCCTCCCAGCTCTCTGCTTCCACAGACTCCAGCAGACAGGGGTCCTGGGTGGGGGAGTGTCAGCGGCACACATCAAGTACTCTGGTTTCTATCTCTGCCCTGAGTTCTGCTCACTGTCACAACCCCTTTCACTTCCCAGTTCTCTAAGGTCAACAAGGTGCCGGGAAGAGTCCCCAGACTAGGAGGCAGTACTGCGGGGGACTTGCTGTATAATCCATGGGCCTCAGTTCCCCTTTCTGGATAGTGGGGAGTTTTGAGTAAGTTGGGTTAATATATTCTGATTCTATAAAGTGCCTCTTTTTGGCCTAAGCTGGGAGGGGGGATTCCTGCTAAGACTGGGAAGTAAGTCCCCCTGATCCCCACTTTCTGGGGGTGTCCCAGGCACAGACCTGGCTTCCCCGTACACTGTTACCTGAGCAGGCTGTGTAGACAAGGTCTGGCTCAGCAGGAAAGGCCTGTCTTCGCCAGTGATTCTAGGGTGGTCTCTGCGGCCGCCTGAGAGTTGCCCCGAAACCGGGGCCCTCTGCACGCACTTAGCTGGGCAGGCTCTGGGGTCCAGGCCGATGGGTAGACAGGTAGGCAAGCTCCCATCTGTGGAAGCAAACACAACATCCCAGGCATAAGCATGGACACAGGATGGGCCGGATAAAGGGACCAGGAGGCTAGCCTGGATGGGGTCTACTTTCGAATACGAGATCACCTACAACCTCATCTCGCTGGGGAACTGTGAGCCTATCCGTTGACACCCCAGATTCCTGCTGGGAAGCAGTATCTTTGTACACGTAGGTACGCACATGCATGAACATGAACACACATGCTATGGTGGAAAAGAACCTGACCTTTGGGAGCCAGACAGTCCTTGACTCAGCCCTCACCGCAGGATCTTGGGTTAAGTCAGTTCACCTCTCTGGCTCTCAGTTTTCTCATCTATAAAATGGGGAGATCTTACGAATGGGGAAGGAATGCTTTGGGGAGACTATATATGCTAACAGCTTATTTAGAATGCAGGTGGGAGAACTACTGTTAAAAGACACGGGGAATGCAGATTTCCAAGCGCGGTGTATATGCAGCTGGCCTTTACTCTTCTCCATCAGCAACTGCTTCTGTCTCGTTTTCTTTAATAACCATGGCTCTCCTCACCACCCTCCTGCTTCCTGCCCATGTGTCTGCCTCCCTGAGGTCTGTACTGGAGCCCAGAGGGGGTCTGGGAACGAGGCCTCATGGACTGCTTGTGGGTTCTAGTTGCCTGGGAATTTGTATGTGTGGTAGAGATTGTGCCTGTATAAATGCGCGCTTGTGAGCGTTCCAGTGTCTGGGTAAATACACCTGTATGTGGGCTCCTGGGTCTATTTAGTCTTCCGCACATTTCTAAATCTGTGTGTGTACATGTGTCTAAGAATGTACATGCATGGGACCCTATGTTTGCTCAGTTATGGTGTATGTGGTTAGCCGTGTGTGTGTGTGTGTGTGTGTGTGTGTGTGTGTGTGTGTGTGTGAGAGAGAGAGAGAGAGAGAGAGAGAGAGAGAGAGAGGGACTGATGTGTACCTGGGTTCAGTATCTTCAGTTATACGTGTGAGTGTGTTTATCTGGGTCTGTTCAGCTTTGTGTGTGCCCAGCTGAGCCTGTGTTTGCACGTCTGCGAGGACACAGAAGTGTGTCTGCCTTTCTGGAAGCACCCTGACCCCAGCTGCAGTTGGGGTAGGAGTGGGCCTGTGTGTGCGCACACGCTCTGCCTGGCTCTCTGCATCTCGCTGTGTCAGGAGCTGAACGGGCTTCTGCCTGTCTCCGAGCTCCCTGGATGCGTGGGGCGGGGAGCGGGGGGTAGGGTGGGGGCGTGCGGCTGATCCTCCACTGTCCCTGCAGGTCTCCCATCTTGAGGCCTGTGACTGCGGGCACTGGTGTCACTGTGGATCAGTGTTACCTCCTCCCTACCTCTGTCTTTTTCTGGGTTTGCAGGGTCACAGCAGACAGTGTGACTGGTCACGGTGTTCCCATGGGTCTGTTTTGCTGGGGGTCAGTGTGCCCGTGTGTGGGTCTGTGCATGTGTGTGCTGTATACCCTCGTCACTCGGGGCCTGCGTGTCAGTGGGTCCTTGGGCCACATCACTGTGTCTGTGCCAAAAGCACTACGTGTCAGTGTCAACATGTGTGAGAGGGTCCGTGTGCCCCAGTGTGCCCGGCAGCACAGCCGAGCCTCAGTGTTCGGGCGGTACCTTTGTGTAACTCCTCAGGCCGTGTGTGCGCGTGTGTGTGCACTGCATGCAAGAGACCCTTTGTGAAACAGTGTGTGTCTGTGTCACTGTGTTTGTGTGCCTGCTTCCCTCCTCCCTCCCTATCTCCTGCGTGCTCTCTGTCTCTCTCTCTCTCTCTCTCTGTAGGAGCCAGACAACTCCCCAAGCCTGGATTAGGGACAATTTATCCACAGGCAGAGAAGGAGAATTCCAACCTGCCAGAGCCTCCCTCCTCTGATCCATCCCCCCTTTCCCCGTGGTTGGGTGGGCACAGAAATGCAGCCCGGCAGCTCCCAAGCCCTCAGGGAGCCCCCACCTCTGCAGTTCCCCAGAGGCCCAAGAGGGTGGAAAAGATGGGAATCTGGGTGGCCCCAGAGCCCTCCAGTGGGGGTGGACTGGCTGCCCCCCATCCAGGCCCCCACAGCTCAGCTCATCTTGGCCCTGTTCTCCTACATATGGTGGTGGTGGGGGGGGGTGGGGAGTCTGCATGGGGTCTGCCTGGCCCTGCGGGCTGGACGGACCTCAGGAGCAAAGCAGCTCCCAGCCCCTCCACAACCTGATACTCCCCAACTGATAAACGCCAGCGCCCCACCACCCCCTTCAAATGGGAATAACTGGGGGCACCCGCATAGGCTGGGGGAAATGCTGGGCGTGGGGGTGGCGTGGAGGGGGGCACAAGGGGGGGGGCTGAGCTGGGACTGAGGCTCCCTTCACGGTGCTCCAGGCGCAAGGCAGAATCACATGTTTCCCATTAGCTGCTCTGGCCTCCTTGTTCAGGGGGTGTTGGCTGGGGGAGATTTGTTCTGGTTGCAGACACCAGCCGAGACCACACAAGAGAGAGAGAGAGAGAGAGAAAGAGAGGGCGAGGGAGGGAGGGAGGGAGGGAGGGAGAGAGAGAGAGAGGTTGAACCCCAGAGGGAGAGGAAAATACACAGAGACACACAGAGGGAGAGAAAGTGAGACAGAGAGACACTAGAGACAGAGACAGGCAGTGACAGACAGAAACTGTGAGACAGGCACACAAGAACACAAAAGCACAGAGGCAGAGCCGGGTGATGGGGAGGGGCTCACGGGGGCGGGGGACAGGGAGGTGGCGATGCAGGTGGAGAGGATGGTCAGAGGCTCAGAGTGCGAGTGAGACCAGGAGGGCCCGAGAAGGGAGAGCAGCACCGCCAGAGGGGCAGGAGGGCGACAGGGGCGAGGCGCAGGGGGCAGCCGGGAGAGGGGCTGGGTAAGGGCACAGAGATGGCCACGGCAGCGGCGTGTGGGCAGGGGGAGTGGACGCTGTGAGCCGGCTGGGCGGGGGCGGCCAGCGCGCCCGGAGCCTCCCGCCTCCTGACCCTCGAGCCTCAAGCCTCGGCGAGATAACAGGCCGAATAGTGCTGACTTGCGGTTCAGAAATCCAATATCCTCCGCGGCGCACTAATCGACTACCTGAGCTCCCGGCCCGCGCCGAGTTGCCCCGATTAATCCTGCGGCTCCACAGCCTTAATTAGTTTAACAGTTTCAGGGGCAGAAGAGGCAGGGACTGGGGTCCCCCCACGCTTGCAGGGACGCAGACCCCCATGCCAACCTGCCTGGTGCCCCACCTCCCCAGTCATACCTTCTCCTGCCCCAGAGGCCCCTTGCCACATTGCCTGAAAAACACTGGGTCCTTCCTTCTGGGAAACAGTCCCAAGGGTTGGCACCTGGGTCAGAAGGAAGGTCATGGGGGGGACTCAGACCCACACCCCCCCCAAACCCACCACACTTGTCCCTGTGCTCAGGGCTCTGAATGCTTCCCATGTCCAGCCCTTTGGGGCCCTGTGGTCTACACGGGAAGGCCCTGCCAACTCTGGGCCCCATACCACTGGGCAACATGTTGTCTCTTTAGGGTGAGAGACAAGCTCCCAAGTTACTGACAACCTCCCAACAGCATGAGATAATCACACATGTCACTCCCCACAACAGCATGAGATGGGCACGTGGTGACATCTCACACATCCCCAACAGTCAGAGACAGGCGTATGGGGTGGTGACTACCCTCCTAACAGGATGAGCTAAGTACATAACCTGTCACTTCCCCAAAAGCGTGAGATGGGCACATCTGATACCCCCAGACAACAGGAGACAGGCACACACGTGGTCACCCCCACCGTGGTGTAACGAACATGCAGCCAGGCACTCCCACACCCATGAACGGATGTAAAATGCGGAGAACCTCTCTCTCTCTCTCTCTCTCACACACACAGACAAGCCTCACCTTCCAGGTGTGAGGAAGGGAAAGACCCCCCCCACCCAAATGAGTCAGGGATGCCACCTCACCCCTTCCCTGGGAACCCTCCCTTCAGACTACCAGAGGGGCACACAACAATGACCCCCCTGACTGCTTCAGACAGGTGACAACCCCCCGCCCCCCGGCTCCCCCATCACTGTCGCCAGCCTGGGTGGTGCTGTCCTCTGCCTGCAGCGGCGTCACAGCTCACAGGGCATGAATGTCACCCCCGCGCTGCCAGAGCCGGGCACAGCCGCATGTTGCCCCAGCGACAAACACCACTGGCCCCAGGAGGAGGTGGAGGCGCACAGGGCTCTGGGCCTGACCTTGGTCCCTGGACACCAGGAGGGGAGGCGCTGGGGCCTCCCTCCTGGGTAACTCTGGCTGCCTGGTGCTGGGGCAGACGAGTGCTGGGAAGCAAGCTGCCCGGGGCACAGACACGCACACAACCTGGAAAGGCCACCTCCCAACGCTGCCACCCCTACCCCGTTTCTAACCGAATGTAGGCCTTATCTAGGGAGGGGGCAGAAGGAGCGGCGGAGAGAGGGCTGTTGTTGGGGCCTGAGGAGCTGTTCCTATAAGACTTCTCAGAGATGGGTGGCAGGGAGGCAGACCGAGGGGTGCGGTCACCATGCCCTCAGGCCCCAGGACTGAGAGGGTGTGTGACCACAGCTTCAGACCTGCACTGCCGCGGGGAGAGCCCCCCGTCCTTATGAAGGCCCCCTCTCCAAATTCAGGCCACAGAGCCTGACAAGGAGGCCAAAGTCCAGGGGCATGACTCACCCAGGGAACAGGCCCAGCCTGCTGGCCAGAGAGGGAGGGAGGCCAGGAGCCAAGGGGCCTGGGTTCAAGTCTGAGCTCCTCCCAGGCCAAGCTGAGTGACCTTGGAGCATGAGCTCGGTCTCTATAGCTTATGGGGAGGGGGAAGGGGCAGTGGCGAGGGAAGTGCCAGAAAGAAGCTGAGGCTGGAGACCAGCAAGCAGAGCCCTGGGGGCCATGGGAAGGACGCAGCAGACCAACCCGGCTCCACTGCTTCCTCACACGGAACCTCAGCTTTCTGTACCTCAGTTTCCTCAGCTGGAAAGACAGTGTGACACGAAATGGGC